AATAAGGATATTCGACTAGCAGCTAGGACAACACAAGCAGCTAACGAATTATTCCAGATCAGTCAAGCTGAATGCTGGGTATTGCAACCTGAGACATCACAGTCCAGTACCAGTGAGGTCAGTGCTGATTTATTACTCTTAAAACCTTCTGTTCATAAGTTGTTGTGGCCCATTCTCTTTCAATATCAATCTGTTTTTGCACTTCCAAGAGAATTGCCACCTATTCGGGATACAGTACATGCAATTCATTTGGAGCAAGGAGTGAAACCATTAAATGTGAGGCCATATAGATATGTCCATCACCAGAAAGAAGAGATTGAAAAACAAATGTCTGAGCTACTTGAATCTGGTTTCATTAAGCTTAGTAATAGTCCCTATTCATCTCCAATCTTATTAGTGAAGAAGCAAGACAAGTCTTGGCGCATATGTGTAGACTATAGAGCACTCAACAAGATCACAATTCGGGATAGGTTTCCCATGCCTACCATAGATGAGTTGATGGACGAATTGGGAGGGTCAGCTGTATTCTCCAAATTAGATTTGAGAGCTGGATATCATCAAATCCAGATGCTTCCACAAGATGTGCCCAAGACTGCATTTAGGACACATGAAGGGCACTATGAATACTTGGTCATGCCATTTGGTTTGACAAATGCACCAAGTACCTTCCAGGCTGTGATGAATCAGATATTTAAGCCATTTTTGAGGAGATTTATCATTGTGTTCTTTGATGATATCTTGGTTTATAGCAGGGAGATGGATGAACATGCACAACACCTTAGTGTCACCTTGCAGTGTTTACAACAACATAAGTTTTTTGTGAAGCTAAGCAAGTGTGCCTTTGGGGTGGGAGAGATCGAATACTTGGGACACAAAGTATCACAACAAGGTGTTCATGCAGATGAGAAGAAAATCGAAGCTATGCTGTCTTGGCCAGTACCCAATTCAGTTAAGCAGTTGAGAGGCTTCTTGGGTCTCACAGGATACTACAGATGATTTGTGAGACAATATGCTACTATAGCTGCTCCTTTAACAGATCTTTTAAAACAAGGAGCATTTGGGTGGTCAGAGGAGGCTCAAATTGTCTTTGATCATTTAAAGCAAGCAATGATACATACTCCAATACTTAGCTTACCCGATTTTCAAGATCAGTTTATACTGGAGATTGATGCTTCAAATACAGGGATTGGAGCTGTTTTGCTTCAGCAAGAGAAACCGATAGCTTTCTTCAGCAAAAGGTTGGGACCCAAGTTGGCTATGGCATCAACCTATGTCAAAGAATTATATGCCATAGTTGAATCAGTGAAACGGTGGAGGCAGTATTTGTTAGGTGTCCATTTCAAAATCAGGGAGATGTTGGGGCAGACTGTACAAACCTTAGAACAACAAAAATATGTGTGCAAGTTAATGGGATATTCATTCACGATAGAATACAAACCTGGAAAACTAAATGTAGTAGCTGATGGTCTTTCCAGAAGTTTTTCAGACGAAACCGAGATTAATGATGTACGGGTGGAACCTGCATTTGATTTGATTCATCAGGTGCAATGTGAGAATACAGAAGATAGCTACTTGCACGATATACACCAGAAATTACAAGCGGATCCTTGCTCCTTACCATTAATATCAGTCAAGGATGGAATTCTGTTTCATAAACAGAGGATATCGCTTAGCTCCCAATCCAAGCTGATTCCATTGATCCTTTGTGAGGCTCATGATTCCCAAGTGGGGGGACATGCTGGAGTGCTGCGAACTTTATTGCACATCTCTTCATCATTTTATTGGGAGAAGATGAGAACGCAGGTCAAAGAATACATCAAGAATTGTCAAACATGTCAACAGATGAAAACTATGACTCAAGCTCCATATGGTTTGTTACAGCCTTTACCGATACCTGCAGGTGTGTTTGAGGATTTGACATTAGATTTTATCGTGGGACTCCCTCCTTCAAATGGACTCACTACAATCCTGGTTACAGTCGACAGATTGACTAAGTATGCTTATTTTGGTGGCTTACCAACATCCTTTACAGCAGCCAAAGTAGCTCAATTATTCTGCGAATTGGTAGTCCGAAATCATGGGTTTCCTAAATCCCTCATTTCTGACAGGGACACAATATTCCTCAGCCAATTTTGGAGATCTATGTTTAAGTTTAGTGGAACTACACTCAAAACAAGTACTTCCTATCATCCACAAATGGATGGACAGACAGAAGTTACAAACAGGTATGTGGAGCAATATCTGAGAATTTTTTGTCATGAACAACCCCATTCCTGGTCCAAAATGCTTTGTTGGGCACAATACCATTATAACACAGCCACACATTCGGCCATTGGGGTATCGCCATTCCAGGCATTGTTTGGTAAGTGTCCCACATTAATTCCCTTTTATCCAAGAGGTATGGTGCGAGTGGAAGCCGTGGATTTCATGTTAGACCAACGTAACTAGCTGCTTGCTAACCTCAAAAAGAACCTGCAACGAGCCCGCAACAGAATGAAAACACAGGCTGATAGGCATAGACGTGAGAAAATTTTTCAGGAAGGTGACTTTGTATGGGTGAAATTACAGCCATATCGCCAGGTTTCGGTGGAACGCAGGAGCTGCCACAAACTTGCTAAAAGGTTTTTTGGCCCTTTCAAAATATCAGAGTCATTAGCGATGTGGCATATCAACTACAGTTACCTGAAGGCAGCAAAATCCATTCTACGTTTCATGTATCGTTGTTGAAACCATGGTTCGGTCCTCCGCCAGATAAACCAGTTTTCATGCCATCTTTTACAGTTGATAACAAACCTGTTCAGGTACCTACAACTATTTTGAATACCAGGTCTAAACCACACCAAGGCCAGCAGCTACGGGAATTCCTAATACAATGGTCTGAAGCTCCTCCTAAGGATGCATCGTGGGAGACAGAAGCAGATTTGAGGAAAGCTTAACCAGAACTTAACCTTGAGGACAAGGTTTTGGTCCAAGAGAGGGGGTGTGTTACGAATGCAGATACACCAGTACGTAGGGAAAGGGTTCCATCATCTAGATTGAGGGATCACTACTGCTAGTGGGTTTATAGTATTGTTTAGGTACATAACAGTGGGACTAGGCCCACATGTGTGGTGCAAGGGAATAGTGAACACGTGTCAGCCATGTAAGGGAGAAGTTAGTTAGTTGTTATAAAAGGAAAACAATCAGTGTAAAAGAATCATCTTGAATAAAATTGAAGTTCAGTTCCAATTTCTCTCTTTTCGTTCGTTCTCTCTAACCTGTCGGTCAGGTAGAGTGCAACATCCAACTGCAAATTTTTAAGGAAATGAAAGTGTTGTTGATTAGTGCAGTTATTGTGAGCGCCAATTCTACAAATATATGAGCAACTTACATAATGTTGTGGAGAAACCTGTGTTGCTAAGGTTATGTTCAGTGGCACAGCCCCTTTAAATTCATCACCACTTAGTCTTAAGCTCTTTATTTCTTCTACTGGCCACATAAGCAAATTTGCTCTATTCTTGTTGTCAAACAGCATTGTTCTTGGAATTGTGTGACTGAAAAAAAATGTGGACTAGTTTTAAATTCATCAATTAATAAACTCACACATGTAGAAATTGCAAACAATCTTTCTGCCAAACATTTTGTCTTTACGATTTTCAGACTTGACAAATCGATGTGTGTCATATTAAATCCAAATGTTCAAAAGTTGTCTGTAATACAAGTTAAGAAGGTTTAATTACATGGATCATTTTCAAGATTTGATGAAATAAAATTTTCTTTTATTTAGCAATGAAATTACACTTCCTCTTTAATAAGTTTTTCACTTGCATAAAATTCTTAAAACCAAAATTGTGCATATAAGCAAATAGAATTATAAATTGCAAGTATACTGCTCCTAAAAAAAATACATGCATGAAGATATGCCTAACCCTTTTTCAAGTCATCTCTTTTTGTATCAGTTTCATTAATCCAACCCCACAGGATCCTTCTCTCTTAAACTTGATCATAGAAGGTTTTGGAAGCATAGTATCTCCCATGATCCAAAAGCAACCCAATACTCACATACTCAATCGGGTTATCGGGCACCCATGTATCATTTTCAACAAAATAGGTCCTAAAGTGCATAACAGTTTACCATTGCATTATTCATGCTACCCTTTAGCACGTGCTTAACTTGTGGACCATTAACTAATGTTTCCAAACCTTTGCACTCGCTTATCGAAATCAGGTAAAAGTTCACATTTATCTTAGGATTATGTTTATTTCATTTTATATGAGATAAATAATTTTTTTACATACATAAAAAAAGGTAGATCTCACCACTCTTTTTTTTTTTTTCTCTCCTCTTATCTATGAATCCTATTTGTAATTTTATTTTTATAACATGAAATAATTACTCTCCTATAATATGAAAAAAATATTTCCCTTTATTTTATGCTTATCACTTATCTTAGTCTATTACTTTTAGAAGAAGTCATGGGACCCGCAAGGAGGGTCTAGAAGAAATATCTATGTCTCAAAGAAAACGTAATAGTGTTTATTATTAGGGTTTTATTAATCTCATGTTAAAGGAGATAGTTATCTCATGTCATAGAGATAAATTTGTGGGCTCCACCACTTAAGAAAAGAAAAGAAAAAAGTGGCACAATTATCGAAGAATGTGTAGGAGGGAAAACTTATCTCATGTATTATGAGAATATTTTTTTCCCTTATTATTATTTTCAATCCTACAATTATGTTATTTCAATTTAACTATGAGTTTTATAATTCTCATTCAACATGAGAATTCAAATTTTTCTACACACCCTTCGATTTTCGTGCTGATATGGGTCCTACATATAATTTTTTCTAACACATGGGTTCCACATGATTTTTATCTCTACAACATGAGAATTGAATTCTCATTCAACATGAGAAAATCAAACCCCTTTAACTATTCATGATCAATGTTTTGTGTTAAAGTTACGAGAATGAAAACCAAAAAATTTTGACATTAAAGAATTGTTATTGTATGGTTGCAGGTCCACTATTTCACATGGGGTGGTACCATCTATTTTACCAATATAATCCTGATTCAGCTGTGTGGGGCAACATTACATGGGGTCATGCTGTTTCTAGGGATATGATTCATTGGCTCTATCTTCCCATTGCAATGTTCCCTAACAAGTGGTTCGATATCAATGGTGTATGGACCGGGTCAGCCACGATTTTGCCAGGTGGCAAAATCATAGTGCTCTACACTGGTGATACCAATGAGTATGTGCAAGTCCAAAACCTTGCTTATCCTGCCAACCTATCTGATCCTCTTCTCCTTGACTGGGTCAAATATCCGGGTAACCCGGTTTTGGTACCCCCACCCGGCATCGGCCCAAAGAATTTTCGTGACCCGAGCACGGCTTGGATTGGGCCAGATGGAAAATGGAGAGTCACCGTTGGATCAAAGAAAGGGGAAACAGGGCTTTCATTAATTTATAAAACCAAAGATTTCATAAACTTTGAGCAAAATGATCACTACTTACATGCGGTTCCGGGTACGGGTATGTGGGAATGTGTGGATTTTTACCCGATTTCAATAAACGGGTCCAAGGGTTTGGAAACATCAGTTAATGGTCCACAAGTTAAGCACGTGCTAAAGGCTAGTATGAATAAGGCAAGGGTTGATTGTTATGCACTTGGGACCTATTTTGTTGAAAATGATACATGGGTGCCCGATAACCCGGTTGAGGATGTGGGTATTGGGTTGCTTTTGGATCATGGGAGATACTATGCTTCAAAGACTTTCTATGATCAAGTTAAAGAGAGAAGGATCCTGTGGGGTTGGATTAATGAAACTGATACAAAAAGTGATGACTTGAGAAAGGGTTGGGCATCTCTTCAGGTATGCATTTTTTAAAAAAATTATTATGCTTACAATTTATAATTCTCTGGAGAGATTATACTTATTATTATTTTTTATTATCTTCTACTATAAAATTTTAATTATTAATTTTTGTGAATCTAACAGTTATAATTTATTGAATCGCAATTATTAATTCTTAATAAATTATAATTTTTAGATTAACGAAAATCAACCGTTAAGATTTGATAATAAGATATAATAAGAAAACAAAAGGTAATAAATATAATGTTTCCCTATTTGTTTACATGCACAGTTTTGGCTTTAAGAATTTTACACAAGTGAAAAACATATTAAAGAGGAACTATAATTTCATTGTTAGATAGAAGATTAATTTTATTTCATCAAATCTTAAAAATGATCAATGTAATTTAACCTTTTTAACTTAAATTACAAACAATGTTTGAAGGTAGTTCTTTGTTTGGCATATAAATAATATAAGTTATGCACTTTTGCACATTTGGTTCTAATTTGACACCACATCAATTTGCTAAGTCTGAAATTCATAAGGACAAAATGTTTGGCAGAAAGAAGGTTTGCAATTTTTACACGTGTGAGTTTATTAATTGATGAATTCAAAACTAGTCCACATTTTCTTTCTCAATCAGACAATTCCAAGAACAGTGCTGTTTGACAACAAGACTAGAACAAATTTGCTTCTGTGGCCAGTAGAAGAAATAGAGAGCTTAAGAGTAAGCAGTGATGAATTTGAAGGAGTTGTTGTTAAACCTGGCTCTACTGTGCCATTGAACATAACCTTAGCAACACAGGTTTGTCTATAGTATTATGCAAGTTGTTTATATATTTGTTGCATTATCACTCACAAGTCACAATAACTGCACTGAAAAATTTACAGTTGGACATATTCGCTGAATTTGAGATTGAAACATTGGCATCTGAAGGAATTGGCAAGGACAATGTAGGTTGTGGAAAGGGTGCTACAGATAGAAGTGCTTTTGGACCATTTGGCCTTTTGGCTATTGCAGATGACACACTTTCTGAACAAACTCCAATTTATTTCCGCCTTTCTAACACTAGCCTTAGTAGTTCAACCACTTTCTTCTGTGTTGATGAAACTAGGTAAGAATTTGCATTTTCTGATTATGACTTTTTCTCCTTTTGAAAGAAAGAAGAAGAAAAAAGGGTGAAAATCAATTGTGTGATCATGAGTAATGAGTTATTGGATGATGCAGATCATCCAAGGCTCCTGATGTTGCAAAGCCAGTGTATGGAAGTAAAGTTTCAGTATTAGATGATGAAAAATTATCAATGAGGGTTTTGGTAAGTGTGAATAACTTTACTTTTTTTTTTTTACTTTAATTTTCTTCTCACTAAGTTTAGTTGCATCACTACAGAATGCAAACTCTTTCAGTTAGTTTAATTGGTTTCAATTAATGTATAGGTTCTTGTGACAATTAACTTTCCATTATGATTAGGTTGATCATTCAATTATTGAGAGCTTTGCTCAGGGAGGGAGAACTGTGATCACAGCTAGAGTTTATCCAACAGAAGCAATATATGGAGCTGCAAGATTATTTCTATTCAACAATGCAACTGGCATAAACATTAAGGTCTCACTCAAGATTTGGCAATTGAACTCTGCCTTTATACGACCCTTTCCCTTTGATAAGAGTCAATGAAAAGTGAAAAAAACTATGCATGTACTTTTGCAACCTATTGAGGTATTTCCCGTTGCCATAGAGCAACAAGGATTCATGAAGCTGATAAATTATGGTTGAGTTATCCTTTACCTTGCTGGTGTCCCTGTGGTGATTCATTTTCTTATCATATGATTTACTTTTGTAAACTGTCCTAGGAATAGGTTCCATATTTTGGTATTGGTATTCTTCAGATGAAAGACTTCAACCAATAAAAATTTAAAATAATTTCCTTTTCTTCCTTTTTTTATTTATTTTTATTTTGAATCCTAACTCCTCCCATGTGCTCTGGTCTTCTTTGGCATATATTTCCTCTCTTTATTTGTTCCCCAAAACTCTAATCATTGTCAAAATAGAAATGGAATCTTGATTCTGTTAGAATTAATTAATTACCAACTGAACTCAAGAAGTTAGAGAGACATTTTTTTAGGAAGAATAAGAAAAAAAAAAAGTAAAATGTGACAATTCTCCAAAGAAAGTACATGTAGCAGCAAGGAATTTTGGCTATGGCCAACATGAAATTGAAATCCAAGTTCCACCAACCTAGCCTTTGAACCCTTGAGCAAATCTCAAACCACAATGCCTACTGCCCCAACCTTTATATCCTCCTGAACATGCATTCAACCACCATCCCAATTCAACTTATCTGTAACTCACTATTGGTTCTATCCGTACCTCTACACCTGCCATTCTCCACCTTCTAAAGTTTCATAATCTTTTTCATTTTATCTGCAGGTCTCTCAAACCTCCAGGAACACGCTACAACTTAGCCATAACATAGAGGCCAATACTTTCGATACCTTTATTTATATTTTATTCTCCTATTTTTGGGCCCTCCTTTAATACGCTAATATTTATGCATGCCCCATCTTCCTATTTTTCTAATTGGGCTTCTCTCAACCTTTCCCTGCATTTCTCTCAAATTTGGGCCTTTAAACTCTTGTTTCCAATTACCCAATTCCATAGTAACTAAACCAACCCAATCCAAATTTAGTCTTTTTGAGGGACTAATGTGGATTTTTTTTGAATTTGTGAAGGACCACGATTTCAACTAAATAGGTCTATTTCGAATTTCTTAGGAACCACGAATAGCCTTTTTATTTACTAGGGACTAAAGCGAACATCGTGAAATTTGCTGAGGACCAAAAGGGTATTTACTTTTTTTTTTTAATCTAAATGTGTTGTACTATGTTTTAAACCCGTTATAACCAGTAGTTAAAATCGAGATTTTAAGGAAAATCGAAAAGGGGATAAAAAATTATAAAACGTAAAATCGTAACGTAAAAAAAATATAAAAACGTAAAAGCATTTGGAATATTGGTAAAATTGTTTTGATTAAAAAAAATTAAAAACACAAAATCTTAGTGATAAGTTGAGATTTTAACTACCATGGTTGTAACACTTCATCAGTTGAAACCATTTGCAAAAAATAAAGCTTAACATGTAACAACAAAATGACAACACACCAGTTATGAAAAAAAAACTAAACGAACAAGAATTAATGACCAGTTGAAAGGTTTTACTTACTACTTACCTGTGCTTTGAGTTTCCAAATGAAGTACTATCGAAGAAAATCATTGTAACTAGAGTCACTTAGTAGTGTTTAACTCTTCCTCTCCCCTCAAAACATTAATCCCAATTTTCCATGTCACTGAAGAAATGCCTTTCTCCTCTTGATGAACCATTCACTGCTTCATCAAGAAATAGCAGCTTCATCTAGAGAGGAAGACGAAGAAGCTTTAACTGAAGAGGACGATGACGAAGAACAAGAAAATCATCAACCATCATCATTTTTGCAACCCGCTTCTAAAATGAAGGCAGTGTTGTTGATGACCCAATTCTTGGTTTGCAATCTGAGCCGGGATCCGCGGCTAAGAAAAACCCTATACAGTCTGATAAGGAGGTTGAGGAGGATGGGAAAAACTGTGAGGGTCCTAAATTCTCCAGCGCTCACAAACATAAATTACTTGAATTATTGAAAAAGATTTTGGTCAATAGAGCTGTAGAGAAGAGAAGAAAGGTAGTGTAATAACTATGCCGCTTCTTCAAAGATTTCAAAACTTGAAACAAATTTGGCCTTGAATGAAATGATTCTGTTTATGAAAAATGGTAGTATGATTCGGTATATTACAATTTCGTTCATTCGTATGTAATATTACAATTTCATTCATTCGTATGTAATAATACAATTTCATTCATTCTTTCATTTGTATATTACAATTTTGTCCCTTCGTTCATTCGTATGTAATATTACAATTTCATTCATTCGTATGTAATAATACAATTTCATTCATTCTTTCATTTGTATATTACAATTTTGTCCCTTCGTTCATTCGTATGTTAATATTACAATTTCGTTTATTCATTCATTCGTATATTACAATGGTTCAAATATATGAAGCTCAAACCGCGTGCACCATTAATTTTATGTAATATACAAATGAACACTAGGCATGAACACATTGAGATTACAATAGTGTTTTCCACGTCGAAGGTCAAATCGCCTGCACCGTTAACTTTAAAACCATTGTAATATACGAATTAACCAAATTGATCCATTACAGCAGTGTTTTTTTGCGAATAACAAACAAAATTAGAGGTAGTTATAACTCAAAACAGGAAATAAACAACGCGATTACATACAAATTGATCCCAAATGTTTGAGGAGTATGGGATGTAACCACTCGATATCATAACAATGAAGTTATAATTCTTACCTGTAATAAAAATAATGAGTCTATAGAAATAACCCATCTGATATGAAAAAATCATTTTTCTTCTTTTTCAGGGTAAAATGTTTTCCAGTTTATGAACAAGATTAATGTACTACTGAAGCAGCAATATTGTAGCCAGGATTTTTTAGCATAAAATTTTCACTAATGCTCCTTGCACTAGCGATATTATTTCTTACTACTGTATATATTATTTAATATTGTTTCTTCTGGGAATTCTTACAAGTCTAGTTTTCTTTAGCCTCTTTATAGTTTACTATCTTATTTGGTTTATTTTTAAAAGATGGGTGTGGAATAATTAATACAAACAAACAATTAAGAATGTCTACAAGATTTAATTCTTGCAAGTTCGTCATGCCTGTCGATTCTATGAAAATTTGGTGCCAAATTACACAGTATATGAGGTTGAATGCCTAGACCATTCATTTCGTAAATTCACTGATGATGGTCGATGCCTTATAAGTTTCAACAGAAATCATCAACAGTCGATTGTTTATAGGCATGTATGTCTTTCTTTTTCATGCAAAGATGAAGATTGTTATAAACATGATTTGCCGTCATAAGCAAAGATATTTAAGAGTTTTTTCACCCAATTATATTGGGTAACACTTGCTTCTAGCAATAAACTTAAACCAAATAATCTTCGATTGAACAGAGCATGAAAGCTTATCTCGTGGGAAACGTCAGGTGTAGGTAGTGGTGTTTCCTCAAGATCAATATTGAGAGGATTCTTCTCTATCCCAATTGGTGGTGGGTCGTCTTCAGTTCCCTCCAAATATAAGAGGGTCACACGTCCTTTGCAACGATGTCCTAGGACGAAACGTTCATCACAATTATAGCAAAGATTTTTATAGCGACGACCCTGCATCTTGGCTGGAGAAAGACGTTTGATGGGGATGGATGGAAGGGCCAAAGGTGTTTTAGGGTTAGGAATAGGGGGATTGTGGAAATGGGTCGGGCTGTGATAGGTGTGGCAGATGTGGAATTCGATTGTGCTGGACGATTTACCAATGGTTTAGTCATGCGATAGTCAGCAAATTGTTCTTCGTAGAGTTTGACATATGCAAACGCTGCAGTTACATCTGGTGGACGATGAAAAAGAACAGCACGTCAAATATGAGATTTCAAACCAGAAATAAAGAGGCTCTTACGCATCAAAGGAGTAAGAGTAGGTATCCTCCTAGCAAGCAATTCGAAGGCAGATTGAAAATCTGTTACAGAACCTGATTGCTGCAATTTAGCTAATGCACCCAAAGGATCTTCGAAGTCTGAAAGGCCAAAACGTTGGTGAAGTACTTGCACAAAGGCGGGCCAATCTGGAAGATGTCCAGTGGCAAATAGTGATTCATCCAACACGATGACAACATATCAAGGTTAAAGAAGGAAACCAGATCTAGACGATCTTGTTCCGGTACCCGGTGGTAACGAAAGTAGCGCTCCACGGCGAACACCCAAGGTCCAGGGTCACCAGATCCAAATCTGGGAAAATCAATGCGCACAGAGCGGATAGGATTAGGGGAGCGAACATTGCAGCTCCTGGAGTGGCACCGAGTATTCTCAGCCATAACTCAATGAAAGCACCAATGTAACATGCTCAAGGAAACAATGAAATAGGAAAAGTAAGAAGGAGAGATTAGAGAGAAGAATTAGAGAGAGAAAGGAATTTCTGAATATCTTCTTATCCATTACTAATGCTCTCAGGCTATTTCAATTGAAATTACACGATAATAAGCATAAAATGTAAAATATTATCCTTGATAACGGGCTAGGTAAAGGAATATAAATTCTCAGCCCACAATATAATCAGCTAAGTGCCCAGGTTTCTTTCTAACTCTTTTAGTCTCAACACCAGTGTCCATTGGGCCCGCATACGAACCCGTTACAGAAGATCCTTGGACTAGTGTTGCAAGAGTGAGGGTTGAGCTGGGTAACAGTGAACCAGTGGCGAATCGGTGGCAAAATAAGAGGTTTTCACGTGTCTTCAGAAATCGAGACTGAATGATAGTGGCAATTTCGTTCATTCGTTCATTCATTCATTTGTATATTACAATTTTTTTCCTTCGTTCATTCGTATGTAATATTACAATTTCGTTCATTCGTATATTACAATTTCGATCACTCATATATTACAATGGTTCAAATATACGAAGCTCAAACCGCGTGCACCGTTAATTTCATGTAATGTACGAATGAACACTGGTCATGAACACATTGAGACTAAATTAGTGTTTTCCACGTCGAAGGTCAAATCGCCAACACCGTTCATTTTAAAACCAGTGTAATATACGAATTAACCAAATTGATCCATTGCAGCAGTGTTTTTTTGCGAACAACACTCAAAATTAGAGGTAGTTATAACTCAAAACAGGAAATAAACAACGTGGCTAAATACAAATTGATCCCAAATGTTTGGCGGAGT